GGCTCTTTTATGACTCGTGGACTTCAACTCCCAGAATTCCTGAGCCAGCATGGCTCAGCTTGGAAACCTCTCCCTTTCCCCTCAGCATGGCTGGCTCAGGAATTCTGGGAGTTGAAGTCCACGAGTCATAAAAGAGCCAAGGTTGCCTACCCCTGAGCTACCCAAATTGGCTTTTCTCTCTCTCTCTCTCTCTCTCTCTCTCTCTCTCTCTCTCTCTGTGTGTGTGTGTGTGTGTGTGTGCGCACACACAAACCCCTCTGAAACTAAAGATGAAGTTCACCCTGTTCCAAATGATGACTGGATAACGGTCATTTCTGGGCCTCTTCTGTTCCATCCAGGCCCTCTCAGACTCCAAGGCAGGTCACCGTCACCAGAAAAGACTTAGAGGGGACTTAGGCAAGAGTTCAGCCCTAGCACTGCCCCCCCAAAAGCCCCAATTTTGCTCCAGATTTCCACAATTCTAGTAGAGGCAGAGGATGGGGACCGCTCAAGTCAGAAAGCCAGCAGAGGCTACCCAAGCGCTGGGTTTGGCTCCACAGACCTTGATATGGAAACCTGTGGTTGATTATTTGCATTCTGCAGCTCAGTCGGAGTTAGGATTTGTAGGGTTGTTGTTATGGGGAAAATAGGAGGAGGAAGATGTGTTGGATATAGCAGAATAACAGAGTTAGAAGGGACCTTGGAGGTCTAGTCCAACCCCCTGCTCAGGCAGGAAACCCTGTCCAATCTCTTCGTAAAAACTTCCAGTGTTGGAGCACTCACAACTACTGAAGGCAAGTTGTTTCACAGATTAATTGTTCCAACTGTCAGGAAATTTCTCCTTAGTTCTGCTTCTCTCCTTGATTAGTCTCCATCCATTGCTTCCTGTCATGCCTTCAGGCGCTTTGGAGAATAGCCTGACTCCCTCTTCTTTGTGTCAGCCTCTGAGATATTGGAACTCTGCTATCATGTCCCCCCTCATCCTTCTCTTCATTAAACTAGACATACCCAATTCCAGCAACTGTTCTTTATATGTTTTAGCCTCCAGCCCCCTAATCATCTTTGCTGCTCTTCTCTGCACTCTTTCTAGAGTCTCAACATCTTTTTTTACATCGCGGTGACCAAAACTGGATGCAGTATTCCAAGTGTGGCCTTACCAAGGCATTGTAAAGTGGTATTAACACTTCACGTGGTCTTGATTCTATCCCTCTGTTAATGCAGCTTAGCACTGTGTTGGCCTTTTTTGGCAGCTGCAGCACACGGCTGGCTCATATTTTAAGTGATTGTCCACTGAGACTCCAAGTGCACTACTAGAACCGTCACAATTACAATAAAGGCGGGGTGCAAATAAATAAATAAATAAATAAAATTTAGAGACGGGCGCCAGAATCGGCCTTGTCCAACCACCAAATCGCCATTTAAAAAAAAAAAGAAAGGAAAAAAAAAATCTACCCAGAGCAAATCTTTGGCCTTTGGCTGCACAGAAGGAGCCGAAAACGGTAAGGAAAAGCCTTGAAGAACCACTCAACTCACCGCAATCAGGGCTGGATTCCTGGGCTCGCCCCCAGCGACGGCGCCGGGCTGCTCCCCGTTGATCCCATTCCTGCCACCAGCGCTCCCGTTGCTGATCAGCTGCTGGGGATAGTAGTCGGCCGCAGGGGGCGCTGCGGCGTTAGCAGAAGCCGCCGCGGCGGCGCTGCTGCTGCCTCCGGCGGTCCCTGCCGCCGCCGCCGCCGCCTTGCTGTGCTTGCTTCCCTTCCGGGCCGCCTGGCCGTGCTGCACAAGGTTGAGAAGCTGCAAGGTGTTCTCCCGCTCGCGATCCGAGCTCTCGGCCCTGCCCCGCTCGTAGCGCCCCTCGCAGGTCAAGTGGTGCTGGCGGCAAACGGCGATGCGCGCCCGGAGCCTCTCCACGATCGCGCTGTGCACCCGCGGGGGCGCCGCCGCTGCCGCCGCCGCCATCGAGCCTCCTCCTCCTCCTCCAACAAGGAGACCCAGGGCTTGAGGGGGCGCCGTGTCCCCCATCCCGACGGGCCGGACGCCTCCTCGCGCTCGCTGCTCTTTTCCCCAACCGGAGATCGCGGCTTTCTCACGCTGACATGAGTGGAGGGAGTCGCTCGCCCAGCTTCAGATCGGATTTTTTTTTTTTTGGCTTTCCTTTTTATTTCCTCTCTCTCTCTCCCCCCGTAGGGCAACCCGGAGTCAGCCCCCTCCCCCTTTACGAGTTACGATCCTTCCTGACAGCCAGGAAAGACGAATTGACAGATTATTATTATTATTTTTGTTTTGTTTTGTTTTGGCGCAAAGAACTACAGAAAACCCACCGAAATCCTTTTCGGAAGATTTGTTAGCCCGGGAGCGCAACTCATCTCAGAGGCTGGGGGGAAAATAATAATAAGGAAAGAAGGAAGGAATTGACCAGGATCCATTCCACAGATGCAGAACCGCCACAGAAATCTAAAAACCCAGTAGAGCAATTGACGAGACGATTCCTCTTTTTTTTTTCTTTTTTCCAAAAACGTCCGGAGCCTGTACGGAATCCCTTCAAAATATATATATATATTCTGCTTTCCCCCTTGATTATGAATAATACGGGACGTGTTGGGAGTTAATAACTTTCCGAGAAGCGATTCTGCTGGCGTTTCCTTTAAATCCTCCCCCAAAGTTGAGAGATGCTTTCCAAAAGGGAGAGAAAGTTAGTGGGGGGTCGTAGTAACCAGGATCACCATATCCCGACGAGTGCAAAAGGCTGGCTGCAAGCGGGCGGGCGGCGGCGTCCCCCCCCCAAAGAAAGGGAGAGCGCGGAAGGGGAAAAAAAAGGCGAGGAGGAAGAGGAGGAGGAGGACACGAGGTGGAAGAAAAGTTGCTCGCGGAACCCGTAAGTCAGAAGGGGGCGGGAAGAGGGGGGGCCGAGACCGACCAAGGCTTGAACTACTCCGCTCTCTCCCCCTCCATCGCTTCTCCACCCCGTCTGTCGTCCGAACTCCTCCGATCCGCGTCCAAAGATCCGCCGGCTTGTTTCTCCTCCTCGGGGATCCGCCAAAAGCAGACGCAAGGCAAGTGGGCAAAAAAAAAAAAAGCCGGAAAAAAAAAAAAAAGCCCGAAGAACAGAAATCCGGAGTTTTCAGGAGCTTCTCTCGCTCCGGACAATAAAGAAAAAAAATAAAAGCAGTTTTGCTCTCGGAGAGGGCAAAAAAAAAGAAGGGGAAAAAAAAGTGAAAGTGGAGGGGAAAAAAAAACAGAGAGAGAGAGAAAGAGAGAGAAAAAAAAAATCTTTCAGGCTTCTGCAGCCCGGCGCTTACCGCGGCCCCCGCGCCCCGAAGCTTGGAGGGCGAAACGAGAGCTCCCTCCGCGTCTGGGAAGCGCTTTCCAAAAGCGATCCTGAGAGAAACTTACAAACGGCCAGCTTGCTGCCTCCAGAGCGGAGCGACCCGGTGAGGTTTCATCCCCTCTCCCCGGTCGGAGATCGCGGCCAGATCGTTCTCTCTTTCTTTCCGGATTTTTTTTTTCTTTCTTTCTTTCTTTCTTTTTTTTGGGGGGGGCACTAGCTCCCAGGCGGTGGTGGGCTCGACGCCGCCGCCCCCCCTTCCTCCTCCTTCCTTGCAATCCCGCCGCGGGTCCTGCTTTTTTTCCCCTTTGCGCCCGGTCTCGGGTTTAAGCCGCTGGGTTGCGAGAAAGCGCCGGGCTTACGGCGGCACAAAATTTCATTGTGCTCGCGTAGAAAAGAAGCGCAGCAGCAGCAGCAGCAGAAGCGGCAGCAAACGTGAGACTCACGGGGGGGGGGGGAGAAGAGAGAGAGAGAGAGAGAGAGAGATTGAAGAAGGAAGGGAGCCCTAGTGGGAAGCTGAGAGCATTACGCCAGAAAGTCCCCATTCTGGAAACGAAGGGAAGGGAGACCCCTAGCGCCGGAGCAGCGTCGTTGCACGGGAGCTTCCGTTTCCTCGGCCGGGCGCTCCTGATGGAGATTATACAGCGCCCAGCGTGAGCGACGTGGGGGCTTCAGCGACATCTGGACGGTAGTCGACTTGCCATAAGTCAAGGAGCGCCGGGTCAAAGGGAAGGTTCTAAGTATGGGAGGAAGCTGGAGCAATCTAAGAACGAGTCCGAATCTTGTGCTGATTAAAGACCGCCATAAAAGTTAACTGTATAAAGAAACGGACTATTTTGGAATCTGGGACAAATTTTTACTGCTGGTATGAGTCAAGTCGAAGAACTGTTCGGGTTCTGAGTTAAAGTTTAAGTTTGTGGTATATAAAATTATATGGTGATATATAGAGAAACAAGCTCGAGATTGTATAATATTGTATTATATAGGGGAATATATGTATTACTCTGAGAAGCACAAAGCTAAAAGCACAAGCCTGATGATGATGAATGTGATTTCATCAAAACGTCGCTATGATACTTCTAATCTTACACGGGAGAAAACCCGAATGACCAAAGACTCACGAATATATGTATATATATATAGAGAGAGAGATGTATATATAGAACTTTAAATATGATAAGGAACGAATTGTTAGGATTATATATACTGGAACGTCATGTCATGTCCCTTTTTGTTTTAATTGTTTTATTAATAAAAAACTTAAAAAAAAAAGTTAACTGTGTAAAAATCCTAAACTCATAAATGCCCGTTACCCACTCTTGATCCCTCCAGTGCAGTGGGTGGGATTCAACTACGTGAACAACCGGTTCTCTTGTGTGGATGCCGCTTCCGGAAGTCCGTTCTGGGCCTGAGCAACAAAAAATTAGCTACTGGTTCTGCCGAACTGGTGCGAACTGGCTGAGTCCCACCACTGCGCCAGTGTCCTGTTCCTGCAGCTCTCTAAAACAGTGCCTAAAGCAGGGGTTCTCAACCTTGGCAACTTTAAGACTTGTGGACTTCAACTCCCAGAATTCCTCAGCCAGCAAAGCTGGCTGAGGAATTCTGGGAGTTGAAGTCCACAAGTCTTAAAGTTGCCAAGGTTGAGAACCCCTGGCCTAAAGTGATGGGTCCTTGGGGCTCTCTAGGCTTGCTTGTTTTCTTGCAAAACTTTCATTATCCAAACTAGGTAATATCGTACTAGCACTGATGATGTCACCTAATTTGATTAACAACCAAGTTCAGAGAGCATTAAGGACCCCTCATTTCAGCCCTGAGCTACAAATACTCTCCTTTATTAGTGCCTAAAGTAATTGCCACAAAAGGGGTGGGAACAAACACAGATACATCCCATTTCTTTAGGAAAGTAGTTTACACATAAAAGTGGATCTTTTGAATTGGTGTAAATCAAAATTTTGATCTACAGTTTCTTTATATGTAAGATTCCCACCCCTCTAATATAAACAAGATTTGTCGGTGGATCTAACATCCACCTTCTTTTAAATGTACACATACACAGCAGAGGGTCATTCCCGGTGGTGGAGTTAAAAGCTCTCTACCCTGCCCTGAATCAGCAGAAAACTATGCCAGCGTGAAATTTTCTGTCCTTGCAGCTAATCCCTGTCCTGCCTCTTATTGCCTCTGATCCAACTCACTGCCGAGGGGAGCTGTCTGATCTTGCATGCACAAAGCATTTGTTGATTGCTCTGGCTTTGCTTCCTTTCCTTTTCAGTGGGAGGAACATCTGCCAACCACAATCCTGGAGTCTGAATGCGATGGGTCTGGCTCACGACTGCTTTGTCATCTCTACGCTCATTCTTGGGCTCCCCATTTGAGTTGAACAAAGTTTAGAAACAATAATTTCGAGTCACAGAGTGAATTAGGTAAACACGTCTTTGATTGTGGACCATCAAACCGGAGTTGACTGTTGGTGGCCATCTAGGTACTTAGCTTTTCTCCAGGATGGTATGTCTCCAATCTGGACCTTCAGATTTCTCAAGAGTGTACACTCCTCACCATATTGGACGCCATCCCCCTCATTGCTGGTTATCCTCTTCTTTTTTTCTTTCCAAGACTTATGGACTTGGTCAGGGAGTTGAGTCTTTGCATAATGTGTCTGAATTATAATTTTAAGCCTGGCCCTTTCTGTCTTGATTGAGTACTCTCAGTTGATTTGTTTGAGGATCTTCTTGTTTGGCTTCTTGGCTATGCATAGTAGTCTCAGGTGACTTCTCTAGCAATAGCAATAGCACTTAGACTTATATACCAGTTCGTAGTGCTTTATAGCCCTTTCTAAGCGGTTTACAGAGTCAGCATATTGCCCCCAACAATTTGGGTCCTCATTTTACCAACCTCAAAAGGATGGAAGGCTGAGTCAACCTTGAGCCTGTGAGGATCAAACCCCTGGCAGTCAACAGAATTAGCCTGCAATACTGCATTCTAACCACTGCGCCACCATGGCTCATAAAGTTCCAAAGCATCAAGACTCTTCCATACTGTGCTTCTTCAAAGTCTAACTTTTGCTTGCAGAGAGTGTCACAAAGAAAACCATTGCCGACAGAATTCTGATCTTTCTAGGTATGGATGCATCACATTCATAAGTAGGACTTTCATTTCACCTCTACTTTTCTGCACGTAGGCAACAGAAACCAACTTTCAGATTCTTACATGGTCTATTCAGGAGATTGTAGGAAGATAGTTATTTCACTGTCACTTTTCAGGCTCAGTCTATTAAGTGTTCAATGTCATTGTGTCCAACTCCTTATGCAGACAACAGCAGATGGCAGCAAATGAGGTTGACCCCCAAATCAGAAGGACAACCACCCACATCAGATTGTTGTAGGCAGGGTGCAAATTCTATTTACAGTTCACCTAACTTATGTCTCAGTTAAAACGAGTGGCAAACTGTATAACATTTTAAGACTTCATGCTATTAGCTGAAAAGGAAAAATACTGCTTGAATACCCGGATGAGTTAAGAATGACTTAAGGCTACTTCAGTCATAGGCTTACAAAAAAACAAACAAACGAGGGTAACACAATGAGGACATAGCACAAATGAGAAGTAGTCAAAGCATGTTTGTGACATGGTCTGATACAAGGAAGGAAAGATCCTGTGTGGCAATTTTCATCTTAAGAGTTGCACACACATTATTTCACAAGGCTTTTGTTTGAAAAGCACAATGACCTCTGAACATAACAGGTAATATATGCCACATCTTTTTGTGCCTGTTCGCTTTCCCAGTTATTCCACTATCTTCTACTCTGGCCTCCCATATCCTTCACTATCAACTGCTTTATCGTAAAATAGCAACAAGTGAGTCTGAACTTGGTTGCTGAGTAGTCTGAAGTAATACATCAAAGGCTTAATTGGATTGGATTGTAGCTGCATCAAGGTCAGTGATCTGCTTGCAGCTAGATGTGGTTCCAGTAAGTTCACAAGCCAAATACGAAGCTAATGCCTTCCATCTTTGTTCCTGGAGTTTGATTTCGTTGATTCCATTTCTATCAAAGCTTATTTATTATAACTATAGTCACAGATATATAAAAAGGATTTATATTCATATGAATGAATAAAGCAGTGTTTGTCAATCTCGGCAACTTTTAAGATGGGTGGACTTCAACTCCCAGCATTCCACAGCCAGCATACGTGGCTGGGGAATTCTGGGAGCTGATGTCCACCCATCTAAAAGTTGCTGAGCTTCAGAAACATTTACATTCAGGTTCCTTTTTATAAGTTACACCTGATTCATATTGTTCAGTATTGTTGATGTTAACTGACACAGAGTTTTCTAACCTTCTATTACATGGAGATAGTTTTGGGGATGACAATGTGATACACACATGTCCAAAATGAGCCTTTTCTGCTTTAGTGAGGTGCCAGGAATACATGCTCTTCCAACAAGCTATGGCTCTTCACAGGCCACAATGGAAATATGAAGAGAGAGGAATAGCCCTAATTGATCATTTCCCTGGTTGATTATGTAATGAATCTACAAGGTTCAAGAGTTTTGAAACTAGAAAATCTGAAATGTGGATAGATATCCACTCTATGCGGTAAAACCAGTCAGGAAACATGATTAGTTCAGCTAAATCTACTTTATTGTAAGGCTACATTAATAGAATTTTGCAAGTCTAAAGATAGAAATTTTGCGCCATCACTTTTAACCGCCTGAAAAATTAAGGGCAGCTCCTTCCTATGTTTCTTCCTCTGACATCACTGATAATAAAATCCTTGAATTCTGTATCAGCAGGAAGGATAAGACTGCAGGCTTTACGAAGATTGAAAAAATTAAACTAAAGTTTATAGAATTTGTAGAAAAGATGGTACTAAGAGACAATGAGCAAAAGCGTCAAAAAGCAACATAGAAAATTTTATCTTTGAAGAGAGTGCCTATGTAATACATTTCAGAAAAAATCATTTGTTGAATGAATGTGCAGTTTGATTTTAGGATAGTTCGATAAGCGATCCAGCCCTCCAGGGTCTTCCTCTATAAAATTTCCATTAGAAAGATTATTTTGATAATTAAAATAAAGTAGAAAAAAAAGAAATTTAGCACATATATTTGCATGCTAGAGTGAACCATAAATAAAAAAGAAAAATAGCAGAAATGAGGTATAGAGATAAAAACCCATCAGTAGCCTCACACAAATGAAAGGATGTTTCTTTTAAAATCTTCATAAAATTTATGGAATTCCGCTACTTTGTCCAGATATCTGTCAAGGACAGAATATTCCTGCAAAAAAAAAAAAAAAAAAAAAAAAAAAAAAAAAAAAAAAAAGAAGAAGAAGAAGAAGAAGAAGAAGAAGAAGAAGAAGAAGAAGAAGAAGAAGAAGAAGAAGAAGAAGAAGAAGAAGAAGAAGAAGAAGAAGAAGAAGAAGAAGAAGAAGAAGAAGAAGGAGAAGGAGAAGAAGGAGGAGAAGAAATACTATTGTGAATCATCTCAAATTCTAAGTATATAAAATGTTAATTACAGGGAGTCCTCAACTTATGACCACAATTGAGACTAAAATTTCTGTTGCTAAGCGAGACCATCCATTTTACAAGCTTTCTTGCCCCAGCTGCTAAGTGAATCACCACGGTTGTCAAATTAGTAACACAGTTGTTAAGTTAATCCAGCTTCCCCATTGACTGTGCTTGTCAGAAGGTCACAAAAATTGATCACATGACCTGGGGACACTCATAATTCAGACAGTTGGCAACTGACTCTATATTTATGACAGTTGCGATGTCCCAGGATCATGTGATCACCTTTTGCGACTTTCTGACAAGCAAAGTCAAAGGGTAAACCAGATTCACTTAACAACTATGTAACTAACTTAACCACTACAGAGATTCACTTAAAAACCGTGGCAGGAAAGATCGTAAAATGGGGCAAAATTCATTTAACGAATGTCTCACTTAGCCACATAAATTTTGGACTCAGTTGTGGTTGTAAGTCAAAGAGTACCTCTAGCTTTTCTTAGATGTTATAAGAAACCCTTCAGCCCCTCACTTAATCCATAAGCAATGCATTTCCAACAAACATGAGTTACCTTACATATCCAGTTGTCTTTCTTCAGTTGGCTGAAAACTCGTTTCACTAAATCTTTGGCTGGCTCATCTTGACGATATTCCTCTTTTATAGCTGAACAGCATTTCTGATACAACTTATATTTATAGTGCTTCAGATCGTGATAAACCTGGGTACGCTTTTGACATACAACATCAACCTTCAACCTCTGCAGAAACATAAATTCTTTTAGTGGGTATATTCTGAATAACAGTAGTAAACACTGAAATTAGTTAAGCAAGAATGGCTTTTTCCAAATGTTGGAAATGTAAATTGGCAATTGGGACATACTATCATATGTGGTGGGAGTGCCCATGAGCCCGTGATTTTTGGAATAAGGTTAAAAAATGGCTGGAAGAAATATTAATGCTAGTGGTAGAATTAAAACCAGAACTCTTTTTACTAGGCATAACCACACAGAAATATGACAAAGGGGTATTCTATTTGATGTTACACATTCTCATGGTTGCCAGATTGATATACGCTCAAAACTGGAGGAATAAAGGAATTCCAACAGAAGAAGAGATTTTATATAAAATTTTATTGTGTGCTGAAATGGATAGGCTCACAATGGAAATGAAGGATAAGACAGAATCAGACTATTTTGAAATCTGGGACAAATTTTATTACTGGTATGAATTAAGGAGAACTGCTCGGGCTTCAAGCTAGTGTTAAGACAGAAATACATATAACTGTATATATAATTGTATTGTATAGAAGAATAAGTTTATATACAGATTAAGAATGATGTATTAATTATATGTATTAAGAGGAATATTTATTCTGGAATGTCATGTTATGTCCATTTTTGTTTTAACTGTATTACAAATAAAAAACTTAAAAAAAAAAGAATGGATGTCCTATAAAATAAGATGATTTAACATAGACAGGACTTTTATTACTATCCACTAATGCAATCCTAGTTAGAAAGCAACTCCTGCGCCCATTTTGATGAAGACAATTGTGATGTTGATTGAGTCTAACTTTTTTGTCCAAGAAAAGTAACAAGCAATTACTTTTTAAAAAAAATATTGGCACCAGTGCAGTTGGCTGACATTTGAAAGTATGAATAAAAAAGATGACTTCTTTGTTGCATTTATTATCACCAAGTCACAAGGACTATCTTGTTCAACCGTTACATGAATTGCAAGAATTTTTTTTTAACGAGTTACTGAATATAAAAACAGAAATCCCTCAGTTTACACAGTAGAACAGTCATCCCAGCAAAAATCTAAGCAGTCACTTCGTATTAGAGAATTTGAGAACAGAGAATTATGAGCCCAGCAAATACTCAGTAAGTTAAAGCTGTACATATGCGCAGCAGATGCACGAAAGGAATTGGACAAAATGTTGCTTCAAAGTGCATAGTTCTCACATAATAAAGTCATCACAGCTTCTAAATGGACCAATTCACTTCTGTTTACTTAATTACCCAGCTATGTAAGGTTAGTTACTTCATTTGCACATAAATATCAGGAAAAAAACCCAATTATTTTTAGATATTTACTAGATATTTATTCTGAATTAAGCCAATATCTAGCATTTTCATTTTCATTTTAGGCAGTGTTTGGGTTGTGCAGTCAGAAAAATAAAATGCCAATGAAAAAAAAGATTTGAAAATTGAGCTGGGTTTTAAACTTGAGACTTTCTATATAAGTTTATGTAAGTTTTATATAAGACTTTGTAAAAACTGGGCAGGTAAATAAAATAGTACAGTATAATAATACACTGTTAAACGTCAACCCAAGTTTCCACTCTGAATCACTAGGTTACAGTAAAAAAATTCTTCCAAAAGGAAGTCTCGAATGCAGGCTGTTAGTTGACAAGCTCAATGTCTTTAACCGTTGAGCCATCATGACCCCTCGTAATAAGCTAATAGACAAGAGATAATCAGCGTTAAAAGACATGAAAACATGAAACAAGGATTGGAAGACTCAAGATTTGAAAAAATTAGAAAATGGAAAGAACAAGAAATATTTTAGAACAGAGGTGGGGAATGATGGCCACTTTATGACATGTGGACTTCAACTCCCAGAATTCCTGAGCCAGCATGGTTGGCTCAGGAATTCTGGGAATTGAAGTCCACAAGTCATAAAAGGGCCATTGTTCCCAACCCCTGCTTTAGAACTTCAGCAAAGGCAATTCAGATTCAGAGGAATCTCTAGAGATTTTGGAAAGATGAATTTTGAAGGTTCTTTTAAAGAAACACTGATGGGTACAGTGAGTAATGATCCTATCACGGTACCTATGAAACACCTTTCCAGTTTTGGTTTTGAGCACACTACATCTCTGGCAGACATTATTTTTAAATACCACATGTGAAACCTGTGAACAAAATAGCCCTAAAATGTACAAAGACTTTAAAACACACAAATACGTTCGCTTTTCAGGAATTAGCAAAGCCTACCTGTGTATTGTGGGACAGGAAGTCATCCACTGTCAGTGTTTTAGGAATGTACTGTTTTCCAGAAAAAATCACTATAAACTTACAGTCTCTGTCTAGCTCACACGCTTGACAAATACGCGTCTCTGAGGGTTCTGAAATTATGTGGACATCAGAGTAACCGTCCACTCGTGTCTAGAAAAATACAATTGATAAAAATTGTGTTGTTAATAGCTCCAGGGATTTAGTTACAATATTTTGGAGATATTACACATTCATATACCGTAGATTTAGATAGTCCTTGACTTACAACCATAATGGAGTTCAAGTTTCTTGACGCTAAATGAGAAAAGTACTAAATCAGGAGGCATTAAAGTATTACAAATATACAGGTTGTCCTTGATTTACGACCACAATTGAGCCCCAAATTTCTGTTGCTGTATGAGAGATTTGTTATGTGAGTTTTGCTTCATTTTACGACCTTTCTTGCCACAGTTGTTAAGTGAATCACTGCAGTTATTAAGTTAGTTAACATGGTTGTCAAATGAATTTGGCGTCCCCCTTGTCTTGGCTTGCCAGAAGGTTACAAAATGTGACCACATGACCCTGGGACACTGCAACCATCATAAATACAAGTCAGTGGCCAAGCACCTGGATTTTGATCAGGTGACCTTGGGGATGCTGTAATGGTTGTAAGTGTGAAAAATGATCGTAAGTCACCTTTTTTTCAGTGCTTTTGTAACTCCGAACGGTCACTAAACGAATTGTTTTAAGTCGAGGACTACCTGTATAGGTTACTCTTTTTCATTGTTGCATACTGTACTAAGAAAAATAACACACCACATGGATCTGAATGCCAGAGCCAAATCAACTAAGCCAGAGGTCGCCAACCTTTCTGGGCTCACGGCCTGGAGGGAAGGAGAGCAGCTTCCAAATTGGTGCATATGCGCATGCAAACGGGGTCAGAGCCCTGTTCTCGCATGCGGCATGCACTGGCACCATGTGCATGCATGAACAGCCCTACAACCCCCACGGCAGCTAGCGGCCCCATCTGTGCATGCGCAAATCGGCTACGCACACCCACCTGGCGCTAGCAGCCCCATTCACACCCGCATGCATGTGCAAACGGGGCGTGGCACTAGCACGTGGGGGGATGCGTGCCCATTTGTGTGCGCATCAGCCAGCAGGTCCCGGGCCATGGCCCATAGATTGGGGACCCTTAAACTAAGCAATTAAATTAAAAGATTAAGAGGAAAATTTAGTACCTTGTATCGTTCTTTCCAGTGACATCCCGAAACTAGACTTTCAAGGCGAGGCTGAATAAAGTGGTGATCCAAATAATAGAGGGAAGTTCGCATATCCTGTGCAAATCTGTTTTGTCTTTTCCCCTCTTTGGAGAGAAAACAAATAGGCTTTGTTATTAACATCACAATTTTATAAAGAGTACAAGGAGTCCTCAACTGACGACCCCAATGAAGTTCTGTTGCTAAGCAAGGGGGTTGTTAAACGAGTTGCGCCTCATTAATGACCTTTTTGCCATGGTTGCTAAGTAGCTGGCTGAGGAATTCTGGGAGTTGAAGTCCACAAAGTCATAAAGGGGCGATCGTTCCCCATCTCTGATGTAATCCCAGGACAATAAAACCATGGTAAATACATGCCGGTTACCTGAATTTTGATAACCTGACTTGTGGGGAGGCTGTGATGGTTGTACGTTAGACGAAGAGTCGTAAGTCACTTTTTTCAGCACCACAATAACGTCAAACGGTTGCTAAATGAATGGTAGTAAGTTAAGGATTCTCTCTAACGCATTTATTTACTGCTCCGAGAAAAAAATTGAAAGAGGATAACAAATAGCCTCTTTGTAAGGGGTGCTTGCTTACCATATAAGGAGCTCAAAAATGTATCATCAGTTGCATTGATGAGAAAGGCTTTTACGACTCTTTGAAAATGCAAATAATGATCGACCAAAGAAACTGTTAAAAAGAAAAATCAACACAAATATGTATCAGTACGGTCCATATGAATAAATGACTAGGTGCTAATAAATACTATAGAAAGGATATTTAAGCTACTTCTTATTTGTTGTTGTGACCTTACCGAATGGAATGTGTTTCTCCAATAAGATACTGGCCCCATGATGCTTTCTGTCTTGATGTTGGTGCTCTTCTTCCTCAAAGTTCCCCCATTCCCACTCCTCTTCTTTTTCTTTTTCTTCTTCTTCTTCCTCTTCTTTATCATCATCGATGAAAACTTTCATGCTGTCTTTATTAGACACATCACCGATTTCTTCTTTTGTGAAGGGTGAGTGAGCATCATTTTGTACCAAGTCATCATCTACACTTCCCTGGTGAAATGAAAAAAGGCACAGTAGTAATAGAATATTTTAGTTGAATTCATTGGTGCTTCATGAATGGAGTTAGTATTAATTCATGTTAAAGTAATGTTGCTGTGTACCTAGAGAATACAGTACCAGTTTGTTTTATGTATTGTAAAGTTTGAGTTGATATATAAAACAATATAAAACAATAAGCATATCTACAAAGATCAGAACTGTGCAAACAATGGTATTCTGTGTGATATTCTATCAAAGTGAAAGTTGGACTATAAAGAAGCAGGACAGGAAGAGGCTTTTGAATTTTGGGTTGGGAAAACTCCCGAGAATATTATGGATAGCAAAGAAAACAAATAGAATCATTGAAAGATCAATACAGAGTTTCCATTGAAGACACAAATAATCAAGTTCATATTATCCAACTTCAGACACGTTATGTAGAGACCCAATTCTCCAGAGAAGGCTCTAATGCTGAGAAAAGAGAAGATAACCAACAGCAAGGTGGAGGGAGTCAGTTACAATAGCAATGACATTGTTGGAAGAGTTACAGATTGTCATGGAGAAAGTCTACGTGGTCACTAAGAGTTGATTAAGAGTCAGAGAAGAAGTGCAAGATCAGAAGATGTGGAGCAGGGGTGGGGAACGATGGCCCTTTTATGACTTGTGGACTTCAAGTCCCAGAATTCCTGAGGGACCTGGCCTATGACACAACTGAATGGATAACATCTGAAGGCAGGACAAGAAGCAACGGATGGAAACTAATCAAGGAAAAAAGCAACCTAGAACTAAGGAGAAACTTCCTGACAGTTAGAACAATTAACCAGTGGAACAACCTGCCTCCAGAAGCGGTGAATGCTCCAACACTGGAAGTTTTTAAGAAGAGAGACTGGACAGCCATTTGTCTGAAATGGTATAGGGTTTCCTGCCTGAGCAGGGGGTTGGACTAGATGACCTCCAAGGTCCCTTCCAACTTTATTATTATTATTATTATTATTATTATTATTATTATTATTATTATTATTATTATTATTATTATTATCATCGTCATCAAGATTACGTACTCGATGGCACGTAATCAAATAAAGTCACTCACAAGCTAATCATTTGTGGCTACTTTCCTAGTGTTGGGATCACAAGGTAAATATAAAAAGATGCTTCTAAGATTCACACAGAGTAGATGAAATCCATCTGTGGGCTAGCGTGAGAAAGCAAGTGTGAAAATGTTTTTGAAAATGAATTGGGAATGTACCTCATTATGTTGATTGACTTTGCCAGATTTTCTTGATTGCCGGAAAGAAAACCTTTGCAGTTTTATGTGTATTTCTCGTTTCTTATTTGCAGCTTTCTCTGCTGGGGATGTGGGTGACTCTCCATCAACAGATAAATAGTCTTTGCTAATTACGCTCCTGCCTTTAGCGATCACTTTCCTAGGAACATCGCTGTCACTGCTTTTGTCACTGTCATATAACATGGCTGCCCGAAGTCTCTTCCTCTTTCCAAAGGAAATGTTTCCTTCTTCCAGATCCTCTGAAGACACATCATTGCCTCTTTTCTGAAAATCTGCATCACTCCCAGCCTCACTGTTCCTTTTGCTAAGTATGGACGTCTCTTCTTCTTTTCCATCTACATCTTCTTTTGAACTGGACTTGGGATTTTCTTCTTCTTCTTCTGATGATGATGATGTTGATGATGAGGAGGGCGTAATTTCGTTGTCATCATCCTGATGTTCAGGAAATATATATCTTTTAGTCCGCCTGCAGTCAACATGAAATTTGGCTACTGATTCTGCTGTCGTGCTTCTAGTTTTGTATCCTTTCCTTAGAGGATTAGTTTCCATAAGGATTTTCTAAAAAAATATATATATACATATATAAATTCTGAATTCTAAGTTCATATTTTTGCTTTTACAATTCCTAAAATAGGGATGGGAAGCCCAGTCAAAAACAGAGGTTTTCCTATTCTGCTAACACCCCTTGTTCCAGACTTAAAAGAAGTGGATGTACAGTAAACCCTTAATTTAATGGATTGTCAATTGGGGGAAAAAGTACAAGCAGTCCTTGACTTACAACCATTCATTTAGTGACTGTTCAAAGCTACAACGGTACTGAAAAAAGTGACTTATGACTGTTTTTCACACAACCATGCAGCAACCTCATGGTCACATGATCAAAATTTGAATGCTTGGCAACTGGCATGTATTGGTGGCAGTGGCAGTGGCAGTGTCCTGGTGTCACACGATTCCCGTTTGACCTTCTGACAAGCAAAGTCAATGGGGAAACCAGATTCATTTAACAATTGTTACTTACTTAACAGCTACAATGATTCACTTAAAAACTGTGGCATGAAAAGTTGTAAAAAGGGCATAACAGTTAACAACTGTCTTGTTAGCTATAGAACTTTGGGCTCAATTATGGTTGTAAGTCAAGGAGTACTTGTAATGTCCTTCAGAACTCATTGCCTCTTATGGCAAATTAATTTTTTTGTATTTTGGTAAAAGCATTTTGTCCTCTAGATCCAAAATCTGCCAAACAAGTCCAGGAAATCTCCCATTTTTGTTTGTGTGTATGTGGGGAGAGAAATCTTATGGAACATTTTAATGTTGTAAAATTATAATGAAGCCAGAAAGAAAATCTCACTTTTGGAAATAAATTCTGCACGTTATAGAGAAGTACAGAATTTTCAGAGAATTTGCCAAAATATTGATTCAAGGCCTGCAACATAACGAGCCCTTCATAATTGCTTATTAGGTTCCTCAGACTTCTGCATCAAACAAAGATAATCTGATAGGTATTTGGAAACGGGCAAACACGGAGCCCGCTAAGGATGTTAAGCATGACCATATGAAAGATTACTTCTGTTTATTTTTACCTCATCTTTATTATTTTTAGAAATAAGGTGGCGAACATACTTAATATTTTTCCTTCTTTTCTTTATCTCCACAACCCCAACCTTGTAAGGTTGTGGGTTGGATTGAGAAGGAATGACTGACCCAAAGTCACCCAGCTGGTTTTCATGGCTAAGGTGGGACTTGAACTCACCTTTTCTTGGTTTCTAGCTGGTGCCTTAACTCCTAGATCAAACTGGTTCTTGGTTTATGCCGCAGTTCAAACTCCTCTTGAAGTCTGTAAATGTAAAAGTAGAAGTTCAACATCGGAAAACAGAGACTTTTCAGAAACTGATATTGATTAAAAGTACTTTTTAAAAACAAAAATATTATTAAATATTATTTTCATGAAACGCACCAAGTAACAACAGCTAATAAGTAGCAACAAATAACACCATATTCTTATAGTCTTTGAGACAACATCCAAGACACACTACAACAGCATCAAATAAGAATGGCTGCCAGAAGTGCAAGAATCAGAATTTTGGATCTGGGTCAACACCTGAAGTGGTAAAAGAGGATATGAAGAAGAGGAAGAAACAAAAGAAGTTGAGACTCTGGAAAGAGTGCAGAGAAGAGCAACAAAGATGATCAGGGGACTGAAGGCTAAAACATACAAGGAACGGTTGCTGGAATTGGGTTTGTATGTTTAATGAAGAGAAGGACGAGGGGGGACATGATAGCAGTGTTCCAATATCTCAGGGGCTGCCATAAATAAGAGGGAGTCAAGCTATTCTCCAAAGCACTGAAGGCAGGACAAGAAGCAACGGATGGAAACTAACCAAAGAGAGAAGCAACCTAGAACTAAGGAGAAACTTCCTGACAGTTAGAACAATTAACCAGTGGAACAACCTGCCTCCAGAAGCTGTGAATGCTCCAACACTGGAAGTTTTAAAGAAGAGATTGTCTAAAATGGTATAGGATCTCCTGCCTGAGCTGGGGGTTGGACTACAAGAAGATCTCCAAGGTCCCTTCCAACTCTGTTGTTATTCTGTTATCATCAGGCAAACTATCGCTTTTCGCTTGACCGTATCCCTGCGAAGATCTCCCTTGAAATGTAATTCTCGGCTGCAAGGAGCGATCGAATCCCAGGAGCTAGCGGAGGGCGATTGCTGGGGACTATGGGACCCGGAATCCTAGGCACCGGGGAAAGACTAAGCGGGCGGAAGACTGAATGACAACCCTAAACTTTCCCCACTTTCCTGTCATTCCAGTTCTGCCAAGGCAGCTTAAAAATAAACCCGATCCCTTCTGAAAAAGAGGAACCGAAAGCGGAACTTATTGCGCTCGGGCGTCTCCTTCGAAAACAGGTAGAGGATTTGGGCTACAAACCCATCAAATCCGGGCTGAGCGTGATGGGATTCATCGGGATCCCTTCCAAATCTAGGCAACGCTCCCTTGAAATGGGAGATTAAGATGGACGCCGGCAGCGCTCACCTGACTCTCCGAAAGCGCTTCCAGGAAACGACTGGCGGACGCAGCTAACGGAGCGCAACACGAACTGTCAAAACAAAACTGCGTAGGCCATTTTGTTTGTCGGGCCCGCTTCTTTTCTTCCTGGCTGTAATTGGCTGAGCTTTACCACCACTCAGTTCCGGTTCCTTGTTCAGGCGGCCGCTCCAGCTGACCAGGAAAGAGGCGGGGCGTTTCGTGGTGTTCGCGCTCTCATCCGGGGTGGGGTTTTCTCAAGAACGTGTAATTTACACCAATCTCTGATGATTTAGTTTACAGTTTATTTGTTTAAAGCAGGGGTAGTCAACCTTGGCTCTTTTATGACTCGTGGACTTCAACTCCCAGAATTCCTGAGCCAGCTTAGCTGGCTCAGGAATTCTGGGAGTTGAAGTCCACGAGTCATAAAAGAGCCAAGGTTGACTACCCCTGCTTTAAAGGTTGTGAATATATGTAGTTTTGGCAATATTGAGATGTCTGGACTTCACCTGGGCCGATTTATTTACCAAGGCACCTGAAGACAAGACAAGAAACTATGGATGGAAACTAATCAAGAAGAGAAGCAACCTACAATGGACGCTTAAAAGTGTCAAATTTAGCGGACCTGGCTAAAATTTCCGCTTATTTGAAAGATCAATCACAAGAAAGATATATCTCGGTCTGGAGAAGATGGATAGATTATATTCAGAATAAATATGGGACTAAAAAGTTTCATTTGGGTTCTGAGTAAACTCTAGAGTATTGTTATTAATAGTTTATTTTAATGGAATTTTTGTTAGTTTTAATTATATTATTTTTAATATTAGTATTGTATTGTTTAATACTTAGGTGATGAATACGTTTAATTTTAATTTGTTTAAATTTGTGTTAAAGGGGAGTTAAAGCGCATTATGGATTTGGTTACTTTAATAGTTGGTTAATGTTAGATAGATTTTGATTATTATATTTGTAACCCTGTGTTCAGCTCTGGGAAGTGGGGGAGGGGGAGGGTGGGGTTTTGGGGTGGGTATGGGGGTTTATACTGTAATCTTCATAAAACTTTTAATTAAAAAAAAAAAGAAGAGAAGCAACCTGCAATTAAGGGGGAACTTTCCCAAAGGCCCTTTTTTTTTTCAGGAGGCAACTGGACTTTGTGTTTCTTTTGAAGACGTGACGTTTCGCTTCTCATCCAAGAAGCTTGGATGAGATTTGCCTTCGGAAGATGTGGGTACGCCATCCCTGGAAGCTTTTAAGAAGAGACTGGACAACTATTTGTCAGAAATTAGTATACATCTCCTGCTTGAGCAGGGGGTTGGACTAAATGACCTCCAAGGTCCCTTCCAACTCTGTTACTGTATGCTGCCAGCATGTTGGTTGAGGAATTCTGGGACTTGAAGTTCAGATTTCTTAAAGTTGCTAAGATGGAGAAACACTCTTTTGAATTGGCAGTACAACAGTCCTTAGATCAGAGAAAAAAATATGAAGATTTCTCTTTTTGTGCCTATGTCGCCCCTGCAAAATGCCAAACATAGCATCAGATAAATAAATAAAAATGAAAGTTAGGATGTTGGTTACCTTGTTTAAACATTTATTGTGCATCATCCATTAGAAATATGTCCCACTGATTGCCAGTCAAGTACATAACAGAGAGTCCCATATGATCTATAACTTCCTTCCTTTTTCAAATGAGCTTTCTATCGGGAGACAGTGAGATTGTATTCCAAGATATCTGGACACGTGGTTAGGGAAGGTTGATGGAGATGATTTGAGTTTTGGAAACCTACTCTAGAACTGGCTAGCTATACAGAATAAAAAGGTTGCAATTTCCCACCTTGTAAGATGCAGGTTGTCGTTGACTTACAACCATTAATTTAGTGACAGTTTGAAATTACAACGGTACTGAAAAAAGTGACTTAGATTGTTTTTCACCCTTACGACTGTTGCAGGATCTCCAGGCTCACATGATCAAAATTCGGATGCTTGGAAACTGACTCATATTTATGATAATTAGTGTCCCAGGGTCATGTGATCTCCTTTGGCAATCTTTGGATGAGCAAAGTCAGTGGGGAAGCCAGTTTCACTTAACAACCATGTAACCGACTTAATAACTGCAGGGAATCACTTAACAAATGTGGCAAGAAAAGTTGTACAATGAGGCAAAAGTCATTTAACTGTCTCACTTAGCAACAGAAATTGTCTGCTCAATTTTGGTTGTAAGTCAAGGACCACCTCTAGTTGGCTATTTCGCTTCAGGGCAAAACCAACTCAGCATTTGGCTGCGCCAATTCACGGTTTGGCCATCGTTACAGGAGAAACATGGAGCAGTAGGTTTCTGTGGTTCATATCTTAGATAAAGTGCCACGTTATGAAAATGACGTCGTCTTGGGGATGCACTATAGATTAAAAATAATATCAAAATACAAGTAGTCCTTGTCTTATGACCACAATTGAGCTCAACATTTCTGCTGCGAAGTGCGACAAACTTTCTTGCCACAGTTGTTAAACTAATCACTGCAGTTGATAAGTTACTTACACGGTTGTTAAGTGAATCTGGGTTGCCCATTGATTCAGCTTGGCAAAAGATTGCAAACGGTGATCACGTGACCCTGGGACACTGCAACAGTCGTAAGTATGAAGCAGTTGCCAAGCCTCTGAATTTTGATCACAGGGCTGTTGCAAAGGTCGTCGTAAGTCTGAAAAATGGTCACAGGTCACTTTTTCTAGTGCCATTGTAACTTTGAACGATGACTAAATGAGCAGCTTTTAAGTCGAGGACTACCTGTAGATTGGGCTGTGCTGGGAATCGTCACACTTTTTATTTCATCACAAGGCTGTTGTAAACTGTGCCCAGTCATCAACATTTCCAGTTTTAATTACTTCTGACATAAAAATCAAATTGTTCATCCTCTAAATCACGGGTGTCAAACTCGATCACGTCATGTGACGTATCGTGATGTTTTTTGCCTTTGCGGAGCCGGAGTGGGCGTGGCCTGTGCGTGACGCATCTGGTCCGTGGGCCGCCAGTTTGACACCTCTGCTCCAAATAGGCAGAATATGATTTTGTCCTGATTTTGCAAGCTGGACACACGGAAGGTATGCGCGCTTACAATTAATTTATTCTTTTATAGTGTAATCTACGTAGTTTTAACTGCCTGAAAAATTAAGGGCAGCTCCTTCCTACATTTCTTCCTCTGACAGTCACTGGTAATAAAATCCTTGAATTCTGTATCTGCAGGAAGCATAAGACTGCAGGTTTTACGAAGATTATTTGAAAAAATTAAACTAAATGTTTATAGAATTTTTAGAAAACATGGTACTAAGAGACGAAGACCAAAAGAGTCATAAAGCAACAGAAAATTTTATCTTTGAAGAAAGTGCCTGTGCAGAAAAATTCATTTGTTGAATGAATGTGCAGCTTGATTTCAGGATAGTTCAATGAGCGATCCAGCCCTCAAGGGTCTTCCTCTATAAAATTTCTATTTGGAAGATTATTTTGATAATTAAAACAAGGTAGAAAACAAAGAAATTTAGCGCATATATTTGCATGCCAGAGTGAACTATAAATGAAAAAAAATAATAGCAGAAGTGCGATATAGGGGTAAAAATCCATCAGTAGCTTTGCACAAATGAAAGGATTTCTCTTTTAAAATCTTTTAAAAATTTATGGAATTCTTCTACTTCATCCAGATAGCTTTCAAGGACAGAATATTCCTGAAAAAAAAAAAAAAAAAAAAAGAGAAGAAAAACACTATTGTGAATCATTTCAAATTCTAAGTTTAAGTATATAAAATTTTAAGTACAGGGAGTCCTCAACTTATGACCACAACTGAGACTAAAATTTCTGTTGCTAAGCGAGACTGTCCATTTTACAGTCTTTCTTGCCCCAGCTGCTAAGTGAATCACCACAGCTGTCAAATTAGTAACAGTTGTTAAGTTAATCCGGCTTCCCCATTGACTGTGCTTGTCAGAAGGTCACAAAAATTGATCACATGACCTGGGGACACTCATAATTCAGACAGTTGGCAACTGACTCTATATTTATGACAGTTGCAATGTCCCAGGATCATGTGATCACCTTTTGCCACCTGACAAGCAAAGTCAAAGGGTAAACCAGATTCACTCGTAAAATGGGGCAAAATCCACTTAACGAATGTCTCACTTAGGCACATAAATTTTGGGCTCAGTTGTGGTTGTAAGTCAAAGACTACCTCTAATCCTTCTTAGATGTTATAAGAAACCCTTCGGTCTTTTACGTAATCCATAAGCAATTCATTTCCAACAAACTGAGTTACCTCACGTATCCAGTTGTCTTCCTTCAATTGACTGAAAACTCGTTTCACTAAATCTTTGGCTGGCTCATCTTGACGATATTCCTCTTTTATAGCTGAACAGCATTTCTGATACAACTTATATTTATAGTGCTTCAGATTGTGATAAACCTGGGTACGTTGTTGACATACAGCACCAACCTTCAACCTCTGCAGAAACATAAGTTCTTTTAGTGGGCATATTCTAATAACAGTAGTAAACACTGCAATTAGTTGAGCAGTCACTTCATATTAGATAATTTGGGAACAGAATTAGGAGTCCAGCAAATACTCAGTAAGTTAAAGCTGTACATATGCATAGCAGATGCTGTTATTGCACAAAAGGAATTGGACAAAATGTTGCTTCAAAGTGCATAGTTCTCACATTATAAAATCATTTAAATGGACCAATTCACTTCTGTTTACTTAATTACCCAGCTATGTAAGATTAGTTACTTTCTTTGCACATAAATATCAGAAAAAAACCATTATTTTTAGGTATTTACTGCTATTCTAAATTAAGCCAATATCTAGCATTTTCATTTTCATTTTAGGCAGTGTTTGGGTTGTGCATTCAGAAAACCAAAATGCCAATGGAAAAAAGATTTCAAAATTGAGCCGGATTTTAAACTTGAGACTTTCTATATACATTTATCTAAGTTTTATATAAGACTTTGTAAAAACTGGGCAGTAAATAAAGTAGTACAGTATGATAAACGTCAACCCTAGTTTCCACTCTGAATCAGTAGGTTACAGTAAAAAATATCTTTTTCAAAAAGGAAGTTCACAAGAAGTTTAAGATAAGCAAATATTATAGAGTCAGACAATTCTTGCATGCAAGTTTATTAGCACTTATTTCAAGGAA